CAAGGGCAGCATCATTGGCAATATCAATGACGTGGAATTTGGGATTGCTTTCCTGAATGCTACAGTAACAGACAGCCTGGACTCTGACACCAGAGTGATACAGGCAAAGATCACCAACGTCCCTCGGACCCTTGGTAGGCCTTTTTGACTTTAATCAATTTTTTCTCTGAATACACCAATGCCTATGGTCTTCTGGTTTAAATTTGAAGGGTTGCACTAGTTCTAGGTCTTCATATTCAGCTCTTGTGTATATGGGTCTGTGATGAGATCAAAGCTCCCCAATTTTCTGTGGTGTTTCCTTCAGGCCCAGCGATGAGAAAACTCATTTCCATACTCAGCCCAGTTTATTGGACAACTGCCAAAGAAATTGGGGAAGCAATGAATGGGTTTACACTCACTGATGCTGTCTTCAAGAGAGAAACTCAAGTGGAGTTTGCAACTGGTGAGCTGCTGGGATAGACCAGCTCTTTCTGTGTCCAGTAAGCCAGATAGATGCTGTATTTCTGAAAAGACAGCAGAGGACCATTGCTGAAATTTGGGTCTTGTGCTTACAGTAATATTTGCAGATTGACTGTGGCCTTCTGAGGCTTTATTCCATCTTTCAGAGCTGTAGTTTGAAATGTGTCATGTTTTTTCTCATGATCATGGTACACCTTACAAAATGTAAGTATAAATAACTGGTCAAGAGACTCCAGTTTCAATTCAGTGTGGCTGTTGGGAGTCTGTGTTTGGAACATGTGATAAATCAGTGTGCTGTTATACTGCCAGGTGAGATCCTGCGCATGACGCACATTGCACGGGGCCTGGACGCGGATGGGGCCTTGCTGCTGGATGTTGTTGTGAGTGGCCACGTGCTGCAGCTCCAGTCAGTGGCTGATGTCAGTGTCAAGGTAAAGCTGCTTTATGTACCACCTCTGCTGTCATGAATTTGTACTTCTCTCACCCAGAGGAAAGCAGGAAACACTGAGTTCTGAAACCTGCTGTGCTGTATGTGACTTCTTTTGTGCCTGGTTGAACTGATGGTGCTGATGTTGCCTTTGAAAGCAGAAAGTTCTCAGAGGAGGGTGGTGTTGGTCTCACAAGAGTTTGAGATGTTGGCAGGTAGTGTTGAGGAGGATCTTCAGGGCAGTTACTGATGTCTGGTGTGTCAGTGTTGCTTTGGGCAGAGCTAGAAAGGTGCGCATTTAACCTCTCTGACTTAGTAGCAGGCAACCAGTATTTTACTGTATTAATCCCACCATGTAATAAATATACCCGAAGTTGTTGATATTTTGGAAGACTGCAATATGTAGTATGTCAAATATTTATATCCCTCTTCAGTGGCAGAATTTTTCTTTACCACTTGTTTATTTAGCACATTTGTTAGCATCTGACTTCTAATAAAAGCCAAATGTTTAGACCTCAAAAGATTGTTATTGAGGAGTAAGATATTTTTTAGAAATCCTTTGCTGTAGCTTCCATCATCAGGATCCTCAGTACATCGCTCTGTATCTTTTTTAAAGTAATAGACCAGGCAGTGTTAAGATTCAACAGTTAAAATAAGAGTGAAAAGGACCTGTGTGTGTACAATACCCTTTGTTCAGCGGTTAAGATAAGCCCCTTTCTCTAAATGCATCTCACAACTCTGAAGTACAGGCCCAGGTGGTGCTGGTGTGGGAGCAGCTGATGACCAGGGTTCTGTTGCAGGATTACACAGAGGACTACATCCAGACAGGCCCTGGGCAGCTGCATGCACACTCCACACGCCTCTTCACCGCAGATGGAGTCAGTGTTCCCTACACGTGGAACCACACCATCACCTACGATTCCACCAAGGGGAGGATGCCCTTCCTGGTGCAAACACTGCATGCTGCCTCCATCACAACAGAGTACAACCCGCTGGAGGAGGCTGTGGCTTTCAAAATCCAGGCTTCCATTGCAAAAGGTATTGTTCTAGGCCCTCACAGAAATAATGGGGAAAAGAGTATCTTCTCTTTCTAGAATTCATTGAGTCACCCATAGTCTCAAAAGGAAATTCTGTAAAACTCGGGTAGCTTTAGTGTAGATCCCAGGACCTGAAAGTCTTGATGTACCCATAAATTCACTATTAGTTAGCATTGCTAACTGCTGGCTTTTATGGACCTGAGTGACCAAAGGGGATGGGCATGGATATATATGAGCAGATTTTCTATTGAGAAGCTCTAATTAATGAGCAAACTGGCCTGTTACTTTTTTTATGTTATTTGGGTTTGTTTTTTTTAAGTAGTAGAGAAATTACTCTGGTTTGGAAGTAATGAAACAGAGCAGTTGCCTGTCTCAGTTTTCTTTTCAGTAACAACATTCTAAATTAAGTAAAATAAGGTTTTCCCCATTTTGGCCAGACTAGGGACTCATAGTACAGTTTGAAAACCAAATACTTTTTTTTCTAATTTAAAAAGAGATCTGATAAAAGGGAGTCACTGGGTCAAGATATGCCTGTGATTAGATCTGGCTAAACCTCTACTGAACTTGCACTTATTTCCTCCAACAATTAATGTTGGTGTTTGGGATCTTTTTAAATTTTGTTTCTTAAATTTCAGTTTTCAAGCAGCCAAAGCCCTGTGTCCTTTGAGGAGTCTCTCCCTAAGTTTTCCACTGCAGTTTGTAGCACATGGTTGTGTTCTTCTACAGTGGCCTATGATCTGTGAGATGTTGATTTCTTCGGTTTGGGTCTATTGTCGTCCTTTTTTGTGAAGTAAAACTGAATGGTCTTTATTCTTTCAATAAGAAACTTTCCAGGATGCATTAGGCTGGGATGGAACTTACAGCTCACTCTAAGGGGACCCCCACACACCTGTTCAACGTTATTCAAATCAGCACAAGCCAAGCAATACTGACTTTTAGTGCCAAAGTAGAAAAACCACTAAAGGCTGGATTTAAAAGATTCTGTTTTGGTGTTGAAATATAATAAATATTGTAAAATTGCTGGGCTGCAATTCTTACTGTTAAAGTAATGGAATGGCTATATTTCTATCCACAAGTAACACATGTTTGTTTTATTATACAGGGGATCGGAGCAACCAGTGCCCTGTGGGGTTTGCTTTGGACTCCTCTGGGCCTTACTGCTCAGGTAATGACTGACATGGGTGGGTGTAACCATGAAGTCCTAGAGTGCTTTGGGTGGGAAGGGGCCTTAAAGATCCCCTATTTCCACCACTGCCATGGGCAGGGACACCTTCCACTAGCCCAGGGTGCTCAAAGCCCTGTCCAAACTGGCCTTTGACACTGCCAAGGATCCAGGGGCAGCCACAGCTTCTCTGGGCACCCTGTGCCAAGGGCTCTCCACCCTCACAGGGAACAATTCCTTCCTAATATCCCATCTAATCCTGCCCTCTGGCAGTAGGAAACCATTCCCTGTGTCCTGTCCCTGCAGGCCCTTGTCCCAAGTCCCTCTCCAGCTCTCCTGGTGCCCCTTCAGTCACTGGAAGGGGCTTAGAAGTTTCCATGAAGCCTTCCCTTCTCCAGGTGAACACCCCCAGCTCTCCCAGCCTGGCTCCAGAGCAGAGAGGCTCCAGAGCTGGACACATTATTAAACCACCAGAACCTACATCCTCTTTATTTAGAATTCAAAGTATGCACTTCTGAAAGTGTGAGTTATCCTTGCTAACAGGTTGTGTATCCAAGGGCAGTTGAAGATGTTATTTCCCTTCTCATCTACAATATGAGTAGCGCCCAGACAGCTTTTAAATCGGTACCTCAGGTACACGTGGAGGAAATTGAGCCTCAGGCTCTGCTGAGCCTGCAGAGCAATGAAAGACTTAGGTGACCTGTGTGGAGGAAAGGATGAGTGTTGGCACCTCAGACAGGTGCCCATGTGTTCCTGCTTGGGGGATGGAGGTGGAGAGAAGCACATGAGTACACTGTCTGTCTCTCTAGCGTCAGGGTTGTCTTAGGGAGAAATCATCTGACATGATTTTGTGGAATTAGTACATTACCTCTTGAAAGGCTGCAATGAAGGGAATTGCTGGATCTGGTTTTGCCCTGTGAGCTTTACTAGTCACACCCCTCTGAGGAAAAATCAGATTGGAGTAGTTTCTTGGGAAATCTCACTGGTTTTTCAAACATTTTCTTGTTCCAGATGAAGATGAATGTGCTGTGGGAAATCCTTGTTCCCACACCTGTCACAATGCTGTGGGATCCTACTACTGCTCCTGTCCCAAAGGCCTCACCATCTCTGCTGATGGCAGAACGTGTCAGGGTAAGAAAGGTGCTGTTGGGGACAGCTTAGATATAAATGCCCCTTAGATAATTTTTATCTAAGGCCTTAAAATACCTTAAGAGGCACTTAAATTGCTAAGGAAAAGTTTATTCAGGCCATTTTCTCATAAGAACACAATTTATTGGTGGTATTCTAATTATTTCATAGCTGAACGCATTTTCAGTCACATGTTTCTAGTTGCTTGTGCTGAAGGCACTGGTTAGTGTGTCCCCTGTGCGGGGTTTGCAGCTCATTTCCCGTTGCAGACGTCGATGAGTGTGCGCTGGGAGGGCACAGCTGCCATGCAGGGCAGGACTGCGAGAACCTGCCTGGCTCCTTCCGCTGCGTGCTCCGCTGCGGGAGCGGCTTCCGCAGGACACCCGACGGCTTCAGCTGCCAAGGTACACATGGGCTGTGGCTCGGGGACCATCAGCTCTCATGCAACTGAAAATGCTGCTCTCATGCAACTGAAACTCACTTTAGGGGGTGTCTCCAAGTACCTGTCATTTTCATTCTTAAGGTTGTAGATTTTGCAGGTCTGGTTTTCCTATAGGTTTTTTTGTTTCTTAATCTTTTGCTTCTTCTGTCTTTAGAACTAAGTTTAAAATCCCATCAGAGAAGAACTTGGCATTCTCGGGTTTGTGTCCCGTGTTCGTTTTCTTGTACAAAGATGAGAGAGCAGCAAACACTCCTGAGCAGAATTCAGCCAAACCCTGCTCAGGTAATGCCCATGGGGCGACTCCCAGCCCTGGTGCCAAGGATTTGTGTTGTTCCACAGATGTTAATGAGTGTCAAGAGTCCAACTCCTGCCATCAGCGTTGCTTCAATACCATAGGAAGTTTCCACTGTGGCTGTGACCCAGGATTCCAGCTGAAGGGAAGAAAATGCATAGGTAGGGATGAAGTTCTGAATGTCTGTTCCCTCTTTCCAACAGAGTTCAACATTTATTTGTTGCTCTATTTGCTTATGAAAGTGTTACTATGGATAATACACTTGATGTACATTTTGGAATCTGTCAAGCAGTACTGAAAGCCAGAGGCAGCAAGAATTGGGCTGACTGATCTTTGTGCATGAAATGATTCAATGTGTGGACACAGGGTAATTTCATTACATAATTGAGTCCAATCCTGCACGGTTTTTTTTTGGCTTTTGTTTGAATAAGATGTCAATGAGTGCAGGCAGAACGTGTGCAGGCCTGACCAGCTCTGCAAGAACACCCGTGGTGGCTATAAGTGCATTGATCTGTGTCCCAGTGGAATGACCAAAGCAGAGAATGGGACTTGCATTGGTGAGTAGAAGCATTAATGCTCTGTGTGGTTATGGGAAACACAGGGACAATGATGATGTTCGCTTTTTTAAATAATCCTGAAGATTGTCCACCTCCTGTTGTTAATACTTGCACATACTAAAGCACCAACTTGTTTTCTCTTATGGAAGACCTATATTTAACTTTTTTTGTAGTTGGAATTAAAAAGCAGATGTATCCTTGCCACCTCTAGTTTTCCACTGTTTTAAGCAAGAAAAGTGGGAGTTCCTTTGGTGTATTTTCTGTGTTGGCACCTTGATTTCTCTCAGTTATTCATTGACTGAAATATTTTGCTCTGTGTGTGCATGATTTCTTAAGAGTTTGGCTTGGGAGCTCTCAATCAAGATCACAGGTCCCTGCTGCTTATCAGGGAGGGTTTTAAGCACAGCTGATGTCGTAGGTAGTACCAAAGCTTTTGTTCCAGTGGAATCATGGGATGATTTGGGCTGGAAGAGACCTTAAAAATCACCTATTTTTACCCTTTGCTGTGGGCAAGGATACCATTCACTATCCCAAGCTGCTCCAAGCCCCATCCAGCCTGTCCTTGGACATTTCCAGGGATGGAGCAGCCACAGCTTCCTCCCCCAGTAAGGATGTTGCAGATGTTGCAGAGCTGTGACTGTTCCTTTGCTGTGTGCTGCAGATGTTGACGAGTGCCGGTCGGGGTCGCACCAGTGCCGCTACAACCAGCTGTGTGAGAACACCCGTGGCAGCTACCGCTGCGTGTGCCCGCGAGGATTCCGCTCCCAGGGCACAGCCAGGCCCTGCGTGGGTAAGCTGCCACTCAGTCCTCTCACACCTTTGCTCTGCTTTTGCCTTTCTGCTGCAACACAACAGCAGTGCTATCCCTGTGCAAGACCATGCTGTAGAGACAAGTTTGCTCTGCATTTCCAAATTGCCCATTTAAAAGTGTTCCATTCTAAATACAGTCAGAGCTAAATGGTTCCTAACAGATTAGTTTGGGGCTGTACTTTGAAAATAAAGTGTAAGAGGGTCTCAGAGCACTGGTGGATGGATGTGGCAAATCACTACTCCACAGGAGGCTTCAGTTATAAAAATCAGGTGAGGTTTGCTGATGTGCCTGGCTGAGCCCTGGCCTGCCCTGGCTCACCCCTGAAGGCAGTCACACAGGGAGACATGTGGGTTCCCATAGGGAGCACTTGCCAAGGAGCTGCAAGAGGCCCAACAGACCCAGAACTGAGTTTGGCTCCTGAACATCCCAAATACACCTATCCCCCATCAGGACTGCCAGGGGTGTTCCCCAGCAAGCAGAGCACAGGGGTCTATTCTGCATTTCTTCCTCAGTGCTCCCCTCCTGGCATGGGTGGCTCCCAGCAGGGAAGGAATAGGATCCCTGGCACGCACAAGAATGCCAACCATGCAGTCACTCCCTGTTCCACCTTTAGCATAAAGCCACGAATGGTTTTCTCCCATGTCACGGGAGGCTCCAGAGCTCTGACACGGGGAGCAAGAGAGTTTAATGTGTGGGCCCAGGGCAAGTGGATAAGCACTTCCCCTGGCATTTAAGAGACTTCAGGAAGGCATTATTTAGATCATTTAGAATCACCTTTACTGCATAAGGATCATTTAGAATCACCTTTACTGCATTTATGTCAAATATTTAAAATGTAAGAGCTAGCATCCTGATAATGAGGATTTCTGAATGCAGATATGTGATACCAAGTGAGGGTGGTTTTGGTTGCTGTTATGTATCATGTCAGAAAAGCATTCCTCCCTGATGACTTCTTCAGGATTAACTCTCCTATGTGATAAAGAGCTTTTTCTTATTTTATTTTATTAACAACCTAAGATTTTGGACTGTCAAAAACCAGGAATGTTTGGTATTTTTTTAAAGAGATTAAATTGCATTAAGAAGTGTTTGGCTGTAGACCAAGATATTACTTCTGCCATCTGCCTCTGTATTGAAATAAAACTAATCCCAGACTCTTAACTTACATTTAAGCCATTTAAACTTCTGACAGGAAGAAGCCAGGTGAAGTCTAGGACAGTGGGTTTTCACAAAACACCAGCAGCCTTAAAGCTACTTTCTGACCAAGGGCCACTGAAAGCTCCCTCCTAAGGTGTTTTTATAGTTGGAATTTTTACATTCCTAAAATATATTTAAAATATAGATTGATCCAAGGTATTAATTTTGTTAATAAAATCCAGTTTTTATTGTCATTGTTGACAGTGAGCACGGGAGGAGTTGAAAAGTAAGTGGGGCCCAAGACTGAAACAGAAGTGAACTTGGCTCCTGCCTGTGCCATCTTTACCCTGGGTAAAGCCCTTTGTGCCACAGTAGCCTGTTTTATTTGTTGGACGGGGATAAGATACTCCTTTGTGACTCCCACAGAGCTCTGCCTGCCCATTTACCTGAATTACAGCATTTCTGCGAGTTGTGTTCTTTTCTCTCCACATAGGTGGAAGGGCTTTACTAAAAGCTGCTATAGTGCAGATTACACATGCAAGGCTATCTAGAATACAAAATCAGGTACTGATTTTCAAATTATAGCCTGAAAATGTAACTATTTCAATTTCAAATTAATTTTACCTTGTTCTTGTAAATATTAGGATTCCCATGCCTCAGTAGCTTCTTCTCACAGAGGCATCCCTGGAACCAACTCTGGAGACTCTCTGCAGTCTATTCTGCTTGTATTGCACAGGCTGCTCTTGCAGAAGAAATTGCTCCAATTTTCACCTGTTGTCTTTCATAATGTCTATGATAATCTTCTATTGCTTATCCACAACTTGTTCCAAGGACTTTGGTTGTCATAAAGACATCACTGTTAATTTATTTTAGGCAGGTACAGAATATAAAAGTCAGCATTTAACTACTAAGGAAATAATGAGTTTGTTTTCTTTAACATATATATGAATAATAAATTTTTCATCTTAAGCACATACTGAGATGAATACACTTAAAATTCAGATTAGTTGTTTCCATACTTAAAGTGAAATTCTTGTTTGTAACACCTGAAAATTCCATGTTAAGGATAATTCTAGGAATATGTGAAGTTTCAGTTGTGTGTTTGCCAAATAACAGCTGGAAAATATTGTAACACTCTGCAATTTCTGCTTCTGGATTTTCAACTCTTAAAACATTTAATTATTAATATCCCCCTAAATTGTTTAAAACCTGAAATGTATCAAATATTAACCACTTCATAAAAATGCAGCCTAATGTTCTACTATATTTCTGAGAGTATTGATTTTTAAATACTATTCCCATGAATTTGTGGGAGTTGCAAGCTGTGCTGAAAAGCCTCTGTTCATAGGGGATCCAAATGAAACTGTAACACTTGCTTAATGGCATTTTTCCAATAGTAATGGAAAGAATACACACTACTATAAATCAATTAAACTATTGTTGAGTTGCCATTAAGATCATCTTTAATTTCTAGTAGGAGAATGTTTATAATATATGTCAATTATAGATATGTTGTGATATACTTTAGTAGCAGGTTTTTTATTTCTGGTCATTGCAGGGTTGTTTATAATTAATAGACTTTTGTCTTTTCTGGTGAAGAAATATTAAGTTTGAAAAGAAATACAATATATGTCAAATTTCCAGCTGATCCTGAAGTAACTTAATAAAAACTATAGAAAATTTCTTTCTGGCAGTGTCAAGAGAGACTATGGGAGAAGGTCCTGCAGTCCCAAGAGCACTCATAGTTACTTGGAGGGAAGGACACTCAGCATGTTGTACCCTCAAGGCCTTTACCATTTGTATGCTCAGCACTCGGTTTTGATTTAAGGATGATATTTACTGCTGGGGTGGCTCTAATAACTTTGGACTGCAATTTAAACAACTAAAAAGAAAAATACATTTCTTAGGAAGGCAAAAATAATTCTATTTTTTAATTGTCCAAAAGTGAATTAATATGAACTCTTAAGTCTCCTACCTGTCACAACTGGAATGACCAATAACAGCATCAAAAGTTAGAACATACCCGACCTGTTGCCCCTGCAGCCTTGAAACACATTCTTGAGCCTGATGCCCCTGGATCCCTGGATGTGTCCAAGGCCAGGTTGGACAGGGCTTGGAGCAGCCTGGGATAGTGGAAGGTGTCCCTGCCCATGGCAGGGGGTGGGACTGGCTGAATTTTAAGGTCCCTCCAACCCACAGCATTCCATGATTCTATGATTCCCCCAACACGAGGCACAATAACCACAGCAGAGCCTGTTGTGCTTCCCTCAGTGTGGGAATTTATAGCACTGTACTTCTCTGGAATGCTCTGTGTTAAGCATTGTCTTTTAAGAAGGGCCCAGCAGCTTCTTCCACTCCTCTGTGGAGCACTCAAGGGAAAAAACCCAATTATTAAGAGATTATTGAGCAGCTGAGGCTGAAACGAGGCCTCAGCAGGGCTCCTGTCCTGGTGAGCAGTCATGTGAGCCTGTGGGAGAATGAAGGTCTCTTACACTCCAGGACAGTGGATCCTGCCTGCTTGGCCTCATGTTTTCCATGTTTTACTGCCTCCAAATCTCACTTTTATGTCTTCAGCTTGTTCCTGAGACTGAGATAAGTATCTGTGTGTATATATATGTATAGTTATGTGTTCTTTGTTTGTTTTCTCTCCTTTCCACATGGTTTGGGGCTCTGGATCATGTCACATGAGCAGACATTAATGAATGTGAACAAGTACCTAAACCCTGTGCACTTCACTGCACCAACACCCCCGGCAGCTTCAAGTGTTTCTGTCCACCTGGGCAACAGTTACTGGGTGATGGAAAATCTTGCGCCGGATTGGAGAGGGTGCCAAATTCGGGTGCCTATTACAGTAGCTATAACTATGCTCAATTCTCTCCTGGGAGAGACAACCAGCAACTGCAGCACTATTACAGGCACTCCTCAAATCTCTACAGCTCCTTCTCAGAGTATAGGAACAGCAGAATACCTTTCTCCAGGACTAGAAGGAACCTTAGAGAAACTTGTCCTGAAGGCTATGAGGCAAGAAATGCCAGATGTGTAGGTAAATGTCAGTCCTATCTATGCAACTCTGTTTTGGGCCTTTTCTTAGGTTACTGTATGATAATTACCAGGGACTGAGGGTTTGTGGTGCTGGGGTTGTGTTTTCTATTACCCTGGTCAATATTCAGAGGGTTCTGCATGTTCCGGTCTCTGCTGTCTTGTCTCACATTGTAGCAAAAATGTTCTCAAACATCCTTATAACCTCTTGTTTTAATTGTGCTGCTTATTACCTGTTTGCCTTTGTTATTCTCTTTCTCCTGATGACAGTAGCTCACCTTGGTGAATCTTCTCACACTCCAAAAACCACCAGTAGCCTCAGTCTAGTCACAGTGCTTCTGTCAGACTCCTGCTGGCATCAGTAATCTGTGTCAGAAAAGTTTGGAATAAACATCTTAGAATCTATCACACTGGGGCCAGTGCCAGCAGTGCCACAGGACTGTCAGTCACTGTCACACAGGCAACAGGCACAGAAGCTTTTAAATTATTTTATGTATGAAAAGGGGTTGCAGTGTAATTCAGTGAGCATGGAGAAGACATCAAACCTTGTATTTAAGCTACAGAGAGGTTTCAGTAGTCATATCCCATGTGGATTGTTAGGGTATAGGATTTTAACTGAGAGATACAGGAATACAACTGTGAGGGAAGGAAGGGTTTGTTTCAAATTTGCATCTTCATTCCAGCTTCCAGTTGGAATTTATTAATATGTCATTAATATTAATAATATTAATATTCAATGAAACTTACATTTCATTGAGTATCTAAATCTTAAAGTGATTGTTTAATATGAAAAATACCCCCAAATGATGCTTTTGTTAAAGAAAACTCTTTCAATAGGCAAACTATCAGGATTTGCTAACACACAGAGATTTGTAGTCACATCTGTTTCTCTTCTCTGCATTTTGATCTAATGCAAGCCTTGTCAGTCAGACAGAGGAGAAGCAAAGACCTTTCTTCCACTGATTTAAATATGCAAGTCTGAACTCCTGCATGAGATTACTGCTGTCTGGAACTAGGCAGAAGTTTCAAAAGCTGTTATAATAATATATACACTTTATATGTGTCTAAATCATGCTAATGTGCTTTGAAAACTTTACATAATGTGGTCTGGTACTTCTGTATTTGAGAGGGAGATTTAAAAAAAAAAAAAAAAAAAGTAGAAAGAGCATTTAGTGACAGTTTTCCCAGCTGCTGAACCTAATTCAGTCCTCTGGCACGGGCAAGGTCAGTTTAAAAGGGAAACACCTTTGCCTGAGGAGGGAGTGACTGTAAGGAAGACTCCCTCAGTGACAAGGCTTCCTCTAGTGAGATAACTAGTGTGGGCGTTCCATAAGGATGTTGCTTAACAGCTGATTGATTATCAGGCAGCTCAGATTACTTTTTGGGCAGGACTGTGTTTGTATGACCCTGGCAGTGGACACAGGTGGCACATCCCCCTTTTTCCAAGAGCTTTGTCTCATAACTGCTCTCCTCAACTGAGATCTGTCACAGTTGCTCTTCACCAAGGGGAAGAACCCCTCAAAGCTGTCCTTAGTGCCTGCAGAGTTACAAGGAATGGCACAGATAAGGGGAGAGGAAAATCTAGTCTTAGATGTTCAACCCCATTAGAAAAGAAGATCAACAGCTCCCACCAGCTCTGTCCATACACTTGCAGTACATAAATAGGGGAAAAGTGCCTGTTCATTGCAGGCTCAGGGAATGCTGAGGTGTTGGTCCTTCTCTCCACAGACATCGATGAATGTGAGAGCAGAGATGCGTGTCAGCACGAGTGCAGGAACAGCCTGGGCAGCTTCCAGTGTGCCTGTCCCGTGGGATACCGCCTCATGCCCAACGGCAAAACCTGCCAAGGTACGGAGAGTCATCCCTACAGTGCTCAGGGGGGAGGTCTGCAAAGAAACCAGACACAAACCAGGCTCAGCACATGGCTCAGCCACCTCTCTGAATTGGCTATCTAAGAGTCAGAATGCAAAATTTCAAGTTTTTATATTCCATTCTTCACTGTTTCGTAAAACATCAGCAAACTAGACAATTGCAACTTCTAATTCTCTGCAATTCCTCTGTGACCTCACATTACATGGGGCTCCAAGCTGCAGGGTCAAACAGAGGCACAGTCTGGGCTCTGCTCAGCCTTTACCCACTTTGGTTTTCACCCTTTAATTCTTCTACCAGCAGTTGATCCTTTGCATGTTTTTCTATTCAGATATTGATGAGTGTCTTGAAGAGAACGTAAGTTGTGGATCAAATCAGATGTGTTTCAATATGAGAGGAAGCTTCCAGTGCATAGACACCCCTTGTCCACCCAACTACCAGCGAGAGCCACATTCTGGGTATGTTTTATTCTCAGCCCCTTCTCACCTGCCCCAAGCTCAGTACCTTAATCTGTGGTTGTTAAAGAAGAAACTTCAAGTTTGCCTGACACCAGTAGGGCTCACAGTAGCTAAAGGTAAGGCATTGACATTAGAGATCAGAGTCCTGGGATGCTTTGGGTTGGAAGGGACCTTAACAGAACATCCACTTCCACCCTCTGCCCATGGGCAGGGACACCTTCCACTATCCCAGGGAGCTCCAAGCCCTGTCCAGCCTGGCCTTGGACACTTCCAGAAATGGGGGCAGCCACAATTTCTCTGTGCCACTGCCTCTACTGCCAGGGTAGAATTCCTTCCTAACATCTAATCTTAATCTTTCTAATGGCCTGACTTGACATCAGCTTCAAAGCATCAGATATATTCTTGTAGTCATGAAAATAATGCTAAGTTCCTGATAAGCTTTGTTATTTCCCTGTTATGGGAAAAAAGCCCATTCTAATATCTTTTAATCTTTCAATATCCTCAAAGAAAAATAGCTTGTTTCATAGTCAGAAACCTTGGTCAGGTCCTTTGACCTCCATTAACACTGGGAAGCTGCACTAGCAAAGATTTCATGTTTTAAATTTTGATTAATAAAAATAAATTTTATTCTGCCCTTCATTCCAAATTCTTTGTTTTATGACTGTGAAAAACGATGTTCACCTTTTGGTATAATTTTAAAATTTTAATAAAAAGATAATTAGGAGACAAAAATAAAGCAAAATGAACAAATACAGCCGGGTGCCTTAGTATTCAACTAAGAGTGCACCTTACTAACAAAGGATTGTCCTGTAAAAACACCAGTCTCTTGCATATTCATAAATTCTTATGCATGATTCAAACATTCCCTCTATGTTTTAGATGTTCCTTTGTTTAGCTTCAACTCCCCCCTCCCCAACAGATCAATCTCCTTGGCTCTGTTGAGTCTCACACTCCCTGATAACAGAGGTTCAATAAATTCCTCCCTTGGAGCTCCAGTCACTGCTGACTTCATCTGGATAAGATAATCTAAGAATGCAGGGGGCGTTTCTGAGTATCTTTTCATTCTCTGGGTTACATGAACAAAAGTAGTCTTTATTTTAATAACATACTACAGCCTAATATATATATATATATATATGTGTGTGTGTGTGTGTATTACACCCTCTTTCTAAGTTTTATGCAGCAAAGTTTTCCAACATTATACATATAACATTCATTTTAATATTGGTGAAAAGCCAATAATATAATATGTATCTATAACAACGGCCTAACAGACACATACCTCAAATGCTGTCCAGAACATTTTAAACAAGGTCTTCCCATTCTAATGTTTAAGACCACAGTCAGTAAAACTTACCCCATGGACGTCAGTGACATCAGTGTAGCCAACATCTTTCTGGAATTATCCTGTTGAAGCAAAAAGGGTCATTAAACTGGGCTGCAGCTCTAAAGGAACAATGAAGGATGAAGAGTGCATGAGTACTTCTAGAAAAGTTTTAATCTGCAATAGGGTAAACAGGAGAAGAATTTCTCCTCTGAAACCCAGCCCAGTACTTAAGATACTGTGCCTTCTCCCTGGGCTAAAGTCTTCTGCTTCTTCCTAGGTTCTGTCTCAAAAGCTGCCCAGCCAACGACCTGGAGTGTGACCTGAGCACCTATGCCCTGGAGTACAAGCTGCTGTCGCTGCCCTTTGGCATCGCTGCGGGGCAGGATCTGATCCGGCTGGTGGCCTACACTCACGACCAAGTCATGCACCCCAGGACCACCTTCCTGATGGCGGATGAGGACCCTGCCTTGCCGTTTGCCCTGAGGGATGAGAACTGGAAGGGGGTGGTGTTCACCACAAGGGCGCTGCGGGAGCCCCGGACATACCGCATGGGCGTGCGGGCCCTGTCCTACAGCGCTGACGGCAGTGTGGAGTACCGCACCACCTTCATCGTCTACATCGCCGTGTCTGCCTTCCCCTACTGAGTGCGGCCCTTGCAGCGAGCCCGCAGCTGAACCTCATTCCCCAGTGCCAGGGGATGCTACCGCTTCAGCCTGACTGCTGTCTGCCCCGTGCACAGAACCACCGCGCTTCAGAGAGTGCTATGCTCTTTTCTCCTCCCCTGCTTCCCACAGGCTGCCTTTCCAGTACCATTGTTCCAATTCAAGAGGAAGATCCTTGGCTTTGAGTACCCGTTACCAGTTGCTTTATTTATTACACTGGAATAGTCATTTTCCACAGTATGTTCTGAAAACCAGCAGAGAAATCTGTGTAGTCAAAGCAGTAAGCAAGGAGCAGCCTCCACTGATATTAACAGAAGAAAATAAACCCACAATTTCAAGTGGTCTACATATTTTAAAGGTTGATAAGTGTTTTAAATTTTATATCTATTAGATTTTTTCCTTATCAATTACCCAATAGAATTAGGTCTGTGCTATACTATGTTGAGTGCTTGAACCCACCAAATGCCACCGTGCCCAAGGGTTGCAAATGCGGAAACAAATTACATTGAAATTTGTTTGCAGCTTACAAATCTACAAGAGAATTTGGAACTGGTACCTTTGGTTTCCATGCAAGTGGAAAGATACTGCTATTTTTTGGAAGAAAAAAACAAAGTGGCTTCTTCTACTTCACAGAGCAGGTATTTTATAACTTGTTTTTACTCTACCATTCTGGTATAGCCATTTATTCAACCCAAACCCATATTCACTGCCATGCTTCCAGCTCAGTAACTGGGGGTTTTACGCACATGGAACATTTTTCTCCAAAAGTGATGTAAGTTTGGTTCAATAATGTCAATACACTGTACACAAGTAATTTTGCCAAGATGTATTCTATTTTTATGAACATGTATATATGTGGTTTTTCCTATGTGTATTTTCTATGCAGTATCTCAAGAGTGTTTTACAGTTAAGTTTGCATAAAAGGAAAATGTCAGTACAATGAAAATAATCAAAATAAAGGTTCCTATAACCTTTGAGACTGCTGTGAGTTTTATCTTTGAAACAATTCTTCTCCATTTCTAAAGCTCTTACCCTAAGTGCCAGGGGACAATGCAGAAGATACCTTGCCCATCAAACCGGGGAGCAGCTCCAGCTCTTTCCCCTCTTCCTGGCACTCTAGGATAGTAAGAGATTATCACCAGCTTTAAAGCAGATTTTAAGCCACAGGGACAAATTGTCTCCAGTAGAATTTTGTCTCTATTATTGTATATTACTAACTAACTTTAGACATCCCCACTTGTTGTCCCCTTGTTCTTTCTTTTCTTTCCAGTGCACCAAGTGAAGTAGGCCTGCAAAACAAGGATGACTTAAAATTACTTTGCAATTGATACAAATTTATCTGAGTTACAGACTTCAAACCGAACAGGTTTGCTTCTTGGAAACCTGACTTGAATAATAAAAGCAGCTCAACAAAGACAAAGCCCATGAAAAAAGACGTGAGGGAAAGGAGAAATGAGAGTAAGTTGTAATAGGTACAGGTAATTATCTCAATGTCTTTTAAGGATGAGACTCAGACGGAAAGTGATGTCCTTAAGGGAATCTCATTCTACTCTCAGAACACAAAAATTTCCCCTCTGACATATTTTGTGAGAAGGGAAAACAGCCCCAACAGTTGACAGCCTTTAAAGGCCAATCTGACCCTAAAAGAAGTAATAGTCACTTCCTAGATGGAAGCCAAGGAGGAGCTGCTTGTCCATGTGGAAGGTGTTCCTTACCCTGAGATGATGCCAGGACAAAAGGACCGGTGAGACGTGGGTCACTGTGAGCGTGGTGGTTTGCACTCAGGAACTCGGAAGTGAAGTGGTCAGGAAAGGAAAATTTGAGCCATGGCCTTCTCTTCTTTGGACATTTTGAGCTGTGTTACAAATTTCATTTCTGCTCTATTAAAAAGATTGCAAGTATGTTAAATTAGATCTCAGAGCAACTGTACCTGCTGCTGCTTTACCTCCATAGGCTACCTGACCCTGTTGCTGACAGGCTGGAAAAGCTGCTGCTTATCATTAGTTTTCCTGGTCTAATTCGAGAGATCAGGTTAGTACATCTTTATGTGCCCACATGAACTTGGATGTTTGCTAAAGATTAAAAATCCTGCTTTCATAAATCCAAATTTTAAATACAACAAATATTCTACTGTGTTTATTACCACTTTGGATAAGGCTGCCCAAACCTTAGATGCAATTTTCAGTGGCTCGGGGCTGTACAGTCACTTTGTCCAAGCCCCTCTATTAGTCTGCAGATACTGTATTTGCACTGTTAAAGGTTCACTACCATTCCATAAAAGGCTGATATGGTCACCACATCATTTGTCACAAAACTATTTGCAGATGCCCTCCGATCACAAATAACTGACTCTCTAATAACAGCATCCTAAGAGCAATACGTGAGAATGTAAAGTTCTTATTAAAAGATACCACACCATCAGAAAAATAATACTTAAAAAAATAAAGGGAGGTTTGAAAGAGCTGACCAGGAATGCTCCATTGCTACCTCAGGCCTGTGCTTACCTTTCTTCTGCACAAGCCTACTGTTTCCACTGCCTACTGGATTTTCTAGTGCTCCATTTTCTCCTGGCCTGTTTATCCCTGAAACGCCGTCCTGTGCCACAGGTTCCTGTCTCTGTTCCTGGCCCTCACCTCTGTGCAAACAGCAATGTTTCATTAACGACACTACCTGGATTGAACACACCCTGTGGACAATGGCAAAAGAGGGTTTTTCTCCCATAGGGAGGCATTTGTACATAGAGGTGGTTTCAGGATGATATCTGGTGGCATCCCAGCTGCTGGGCACCAGGAGGCTCACCTCCCAGTGGGCACACCTTGGAACCCAGCCACCTGCTTGCTGCAACAGTGCCCAGAGCACTCAGCCCACGCCTGTATTCCAGGAAAATATCTGCTAAACCCCAGCCTTTGCCAGAGCACAACCAGACTCATTCTTCCTCCCAAAAACAATCCTTTCTTGGTAAAGCCTAGAGGAAACTACATGTTAAATACAGCCCTTTGCAAAAACCCATGTGATTCTTTCCAAATCTAAGGTCTAGGAGAGGAGTAAGGCAGGAAAATGAGTTCAGGAATGAAACCAGGGCTGACTGGGGCCAGAAAGGCTGGAAAATTCACAACCAGCATTTCTTGAAGGTGACTGATGCCCTAATGCAAACAGTGCCGCAGCATCAGGTTTCTATATCTCACACCCACCATACAAGGCAGGTGTTCAGGAATCAGAGGCAGATAAAGAAAGTCTGTAACATCTTCTGTAGGGATCCAGCTTGCCAGCCCATGGAGAGAAAATGCACTGCGGTTTTGTTTTCCTTCACACACTGGCTGAAGTAAAAAGCTACTGCATGTAGCATGTAGTACTGCAATGAGCCTGTGCTGGATGCACAGCACTGTGGGATAAAGAGAAAACAAGTCATCAGGTGGGATGGCTGCTCAGCAAAGATCAGAGCAGCTGTGCTTGACAGGGAAATGTCCACTTCCAAGTCAGATCCAGACAGTGGGTGTGAAACCAAGCCGGATGCTGAGTAATGCGGCCGTCATTGCCCACATCGGCGGGGCACTTACAGGCAGGACACTGCTCCTGGGGTCCAAGGGGGAGTTCTGGTGCCCTTTGACTTCAGAGGCGTTTCTAGTTCTGGCAGCTCAAATCCAAGGCTGCTGCCAATAAAAACTTGGCACAGTGCAACAGTTGAAATCCATGATTTATTTTATAAGGCTGGAATCCTAGCACTCGTCCCACAGTCGCACATGGGTGGGAGCAGAACACACAGCACTGGTTGTGGAATCCCCCTGGCCAGGGTGCAGAGGAGACACCTGGCACATTTGCAGTTACCTCTGTCAGGATATGGGATGTAAAAATGTATGTATGGATGGGCAAGGGCTGCTGGGCAGTGCCGTGCTTTGTTTCTGTGGAGAATCCTGTGGGCAGATAAGATGCCTCCAGCCTTGTGGGCTTCAGCCTGTGCTCCAGCTTTGATTGAGCTTTGATTGAGCTTTGATTCAGCCTAAAACCAAATGGATCTCATTGCTATCACTCAGCACCACAATGTAGCCTGGAAACCTAAAGCACCTTCACCAACTTCCATTAATGCTGGAGAGTCTGAATGGCTTAAGTGCAGCTGTATTTCCTGAGGAGAAATCTGAGACATTCTCAGCTCTTGCACATGCAGAAGTTCCCCATTCATACAGAGCTGCTGCTCCACAGGGACTACAAGAACTCTTAGTGAATTACTTCATTTGCCTCTTGTAACCCTGGGCAGACTGAGAGGCACAGGCCTCTGGGTGTGAGTTGGGACAGCAAGGGAACACCAGAGTGTCAGCTGATGGCCAGAGCTAAATGGGGCCTTAGGCATCACAGCATCACACCTCCAGCAGCACTGCACTAATCATCTCAACATCCAAGCAGTACATCCAGCCAGGCACTCTGAATAAGGTTAAATGTGATCCCTAACTGGCTGCAGATTTTTATAACACATTTGCATGTCTGGACACAACACCGTTCCAGTCACTTCTCAGATCACTGGGTTCAATGTTCACATCTTCAGTGCAAAACTGGGGCCAGATTTTTCTGCTTTGATAAGTATAGTGTTAGGAAGGGAAGCAAAGGAGACTTGCTTGCAGAATAAGGCATATGGATAAAAAAAGTGCTCTTCAGTGCTAACACAGATTTAAATTATAATTTATGAATAGCTAAATACTGGGAAGCGTCACAAACATCACCAAGCCAAGGGGCTGTTCAGAATACAGAGAAAAGGTTAAGAAGTTCTCTAAGTAATGCTGTGCAAGGAGAAAAGAATCTGTTATTTTTCACTGTATGTAAACACTGCACATCTCCTGTGGTTCTGGATAGCTTAAGTAGTCTTACAATGCAGTGAGATGCAGATGGCTTCATTATTAATAGCTTCTCATTGCTAAGGACTGAGACAAGCCCCCCTCCACACCTTTTAACAGCTTACTGCACAGCAGTCACACAAATCAAGTCCTGCCCTCCTGCTCAATCACAAGAAGTGTCTCAAGGACTCCACTCATAGAGAACGCCTGAGAGGTATCAAGAGATCTGCACTGCACAGCCCATAATTCAAGCAAGACCAAACTCTTGCTATGCAAAACTGTAGCAGAACCACCAGCAAACACAAACTTGTATGTAAAAGCTTCAAAAAATGAGTGTATCTCATTTTGGGTCTCCAGCTTCAGAGACAAAGCCCACCAGCATCCCTAAAGTAAAGAATCCCATGAGTATTACTCATTACCACTTTTCCTGATAAACACATTGGTGCATAAAAAAGCCCAGTTCCAAACAGCATCAAGGTTCCTTGACAGTATTTTAGCTGCATTGTCTCTGGAATATGCTTCTATAGCTGTAAAAAATGAGGATTGCAAATCTGGGAGAAGAATGAGTTCCCAAATACCACAGGAACAGCTGGAATGTGCCAGACCTTCACATAAAGCAGGCAAAGCAACAGGACTTCCCTATATCCAGAGAGGAAAATGCAAAGTTCTCTAGTACCACTGCATGACTGACTGAAATGGAAGAAGCAAAAAAAAACATGAGAAAAAAACCATTAAAACACACATGGAAAGGACAACAGGAGCCACAGTGATAAGCAGGGGAGGACAAAGCTTCCTTGCACCAGAACTAGACCATTTCAGCTGAGATATTCTAGCAACTCATATGCTCAACAGCTTATGGGAAAGAGATGGGCTGAAAAAATCTGCAACAAAACCATCGCTTTTCAATTTCTCTTATATTTTTAAAAACGGACTTTAAATATAAACTTTGGAAATAACTCTGATTGCATCAAATTTATTCATCCTTCCTCAGCTGTGTCATCCTTCCTCATCTGTCTGCAAGCAGAATTAGCTCACCAGTATTCCCTATTTACCAATCCCTCAGGCCAGCATGCTTTTCTCAGCTGCTGTGGCCTTGTTGAAAAGGAAATATTGGTGGTTTTCTTACTGGTTGCTCTCAGTGATGCAGAGACTGATAGAGAACCTCAAGTTGGGTGTAACCCTGCAAAGCCTGTGCCAAAATATTACTGCTAACCTTTCACAGCTCATGTTTTGAAAAGTTTTTGGATGCATAAACAATGTTGTCCTTTTATAGATGAGGCTGTAAGACAGAAGTGGTTTGTGTTCACCAGCCCAAATGCACAGCAAGGTGATATCATGGTGTTTTTACCACCTGTAGTACCTTTACTATAGACAGGCAAAGAGCCATCAACAATTACCAAAAAGCCACATCTAATGAAAGCCAGTTACACCCTTGCTAAAAAACTCCAACTGCCTTCAAATTGAGCACCTCAGCTTATCAAAATCTCTCTTAATCATAGAAAAGTTCTCAGCAGATACTACAGCTAATAGCAGAAACTAAGTTTTACTTAGCTGATGTAACCCAAATGGTCCTGATATATATTTGAAAATTATAAACAGGACAGAAGGCCCATTGCAGAATGAATTACCACAGCACATAAAAACACACCAGCAGAGCAGCTAATGGAAACAGGCTGAACTTAGCTGAGAATCAGCTTTTTGGAGAAGTAAAGCTGCTTTTTGGGCAGTGAAGTTCAGCATCACCAGATTAGCCTGTTTGTTTACAAAGCCCTTCTGGTTATCTAAATAAATCACACAGCATTGGTTTTACTCCCACCTTGAGTGCTAGAAAGGAATTAATAGAAAATAACAATCACTGAATCTCCAGCTTGAAACTGGAATTTAAACCAGGCATGGTAAAGTCTGAGACATTTTCAGGATTTAGAACTGCATGAGTAAATTGCCCATTTCCACCCATTTTTGCAGTATTCCGACAAAGTCCTTTGACCACCTAAAGGTGAGCTGAGAAAAGCACAATGGATGTTTGTTCCACTGGGCAAACCCCAAACACTCCCACT